GCGTGCCTGTAATTCTGGCTACTCGGAAGACTGAGGTGGAAGGATTGCCAGAGCCCAGCAGGTCGAGGCTGCAGTGGCCAGGAGCGGTCACTGCACTCCAGTCTGGGAGACAGAGTGAGACTCTGACTCAAAAAAAAACACAAAAGCCTAGATATGGCTAGGCTCCTTCCCTTTTCCTTCTAGCTATTTTTATTATTGTTTGGTAGCATTTTATTTTCATATAGTTTCAAACTTAATACACAAATTCATTTTTTCAAAAGATTTCAAAAAAATTTTTTTTTGAGTTGGAGTTTCACTCTCTTGCCCAGGCTGGTATGCAGTGGCATGATCGCAACTACCGCAGCCTCAACCTCCGGGGCTCAGGCAATCCTTCCACCTCAGTCTCCCATGTAGCTGGGACTCCAGGCGAGCGCCACAAAGCCCAGCTAATTTTTTGATTTATTGTAGAGAAGAGGTCTCGCCATATTGCCCAGGCTGGTCTCGAACTCCTGGGCTCAGGCAATCCTTTCACCCCAGTCTCTCAAAGTGCTGGGACTACAGGCATGGGCCTCCATGCTTGGCCTTGGATTCTTTACAAAACATTTTTTAATAGCTCCACATACTTAATTCATTTAATCTTAACAAACCCCTAGAAAAAATAATTACTTCTATTTATACCTTAGGAAACGGAGGCACATAGCAGGTAAGTGACTTCTGCAAGGTCACATATATAGAAAGTGCTTGAACTTGACAGGTCTTATGCTGTGGTTTTCTGACCCAAAGTTGAGTAACCTTTCATTCTACCACCACAGCTAACCAGTTGAAAAGAGCAATACTTTAGGAACCAAGAAACATACTGCTATGTGCATTTTACTTCTCTCTCTCAGCTGATGCCAAATTCTAAGGTACAGTCTGCCCTTGCATGTATGACTTTCTAAGAACGGGTTCTCAAAGTGCACTCTTAAAGGGAATTCATTGCAAATTGATATTTTAATACAACTTTTTTTTTTTTTTTTGGAGTTGGAGTCTCACTCTGTCGCCCAGGCACTCTCCTGGCCACTGCAGCCTCGACCTGCTGGGCTCCAGCCATCCTTCCACCTCAGCCTTCTGAGTAGCCAGAATTACAGGCGTGCGCTACCATGCCTGGCTGATTTTTTGATTTATTGTAGAGATGAGGTCTCACCAAGTTGCCCAGGAGGTCTCGAACCCATGGGCTCAGGCGAGCCACTCACCTCAGCCTCCCAAAGGCGCGGGATTACAGGCTGAGCCACCGAGCCGGCTAATACATTTTTAGTTTGAGTTTTTTTGTTGTTTTGGGAGTTTTGTTGTTGTTTATTTGTCTTTTTAAGAGACAGAGTCTTGCTGTGTTGCCCAGGCTGGAATGCAGTGGCAAGATTATTGCTCACTGAAGCCTTGAATTCCTGGGCTCAAGCAATTCTCCCACCTCGGCTTCCCGAGGAGGTGGGACTACAGGTGTGTGCCACCATGCCTGGATAATTTTAAAATTTTTGTAGAGATAAGGTCTTGCTATGTTGCCCAGGCTAGTCTCAAATTCCTGGGCAAGTAATCTTCCTGCTTTAGTCTTAATTGCTGGGATTATACAGGTGTAAGCCACCATACCTGGAAACATGTATGGTTTGGGTTTCCTTTTCCTTTTTTTTTTGAGTTGGAATCTCACTCTGTTGCTCAGGCTGGAGTGGAGTGACATGCTCACAGTCACCGCAACCTCACCCCACTGGCCTCAGGTGATCCTTCCACCTCAGCCTTCCAAGTAGCTGGAACTACAGGCACACACCACCATGCCTGGCTAATTTTTTGATTTGTTGTGGAAATGAGGTCTCGTCAAGTTGCCCAGGCTGGTCTCGAAGCCCTGGGCTCAGGCAATCCTCTAACTTCCGCCTCCCAAAGTGCTGGAATTACAGGCGTAAGCCATTGCGCCCAGCAACATATATGGTTCTGATATGAATCATTTGTTTACATTATTTAGTAGCAACCAGATAACATTTTGTTTTTTCATCAATTAAAAGCTTTTCCGTTTTCCTCATAACTTATTTGAATTTTATCCCAATGCAAGCAGAAAACAAATATTGGTGCCAAGTCTTGTGGGGGGCATTTGTAGACCTAAGCCATGCAGCCCCTACAGAAATCATAAAATGTTGCTGTGCTTTCTCCTTTTATTGATGGCAAACTGAGGTTCAGAAACATGTAGCAACATGCCAAAGTCACATAGTCACAAACAGTAGTGCTTTGATCCTTTAACAGTTTTGTCAGGGCCTCAAAGTTTTTAGTCTTTTTCAAGACACCTCAATTCCTCCCAGTGACAAGCAAAAGCAGCAAAATATGACCATGAATGTGCCTGTATAAACCGGTGGGTCTTGGCCAGGCACAATGGCTCACACCTGTAATCCCAGCACTTTGGAAGGTAGAGGCAAGAGGACTACATGAGCCCAAGAGTTTGACACCAGCCTGGGCAATTTGGCAAGACCTCATCTCTACAATAAATCAAAAAATTGGTGAAACTTTGTCTCTACAATATATTAAAACATTATCCAGGCATGGTGGCAAGCGCCTGTGGTTCCAACTACTTGGGAGGCTGAGGCAGAAGGATCTCCTCAGCCCAGCAGGTCGAGGCTGCAGTGGCTGTAAGCATGCAGCCTGGGCAACAGAGTGAGACTCAACTCAAAAACAAAAACAGAAACAATAACAAAAAAAGGTAGGTCTTACATGGTGCTAGAACTTGAATGTGTCCCCCCAAAGTCCATATGTTGAAAACCTGATGGGCATTGTGGCAGTGTTCAGAAGTGGGGTTTTTGGGAGGCATTTATCCTCATGAATGAATTAATCCATTAGCACATGAATATGTTAATTATGGCAGGAGTGGCTTTGCTATGAAAGCAAGCTCTCTGAGGTGGGAGGATGCCTGAGTCCAAGGGTTCCAGACTAGCCCAGGCAACATGGTAAGACCTCAGCTCTACAATAAATCAAAAAAATTAGCTGTATGTGGTAGTGTAGGCCTATAGCTCCAGCTACTTGGAAGGTTGAGGAGGAAGGATGGCCTGAGCCCAGCAGGTTGAGGCTATGGTGGCCATGAGTATACCCCTACACTTCGGCCTGGGTGACAGAGTGAAATTCCGACTCAATAAATAAATAAATAAATAAATAGAACAATAAAAGCA